CTAAAACAAGTAATAGTTTATAGCGGTCAGCTTCAGACATTTTCTAATTAATTCTGTAGAAGACAAATGTTCAGTAGGAGTTTGATGAAGAAGAAGATAAGGAAAAAGAACTAGATCATTTGTTGAATCATTAATGCAGCAAGCATTAATTCCGATCAAACGTAGACATATCGTACAAGGCAAGGACATAAATATATTGAACACCTTGTTACAAATGATCAAACAGAAAAAATGTCATTCAACGAGTGGAAAGTAGCAATGAAAATTTCTAAATATTGCAATCAGTAGACATTTTTAAGAACTATATATTGCTGAGTCGTATTTTATGAGCCCAATATTTGTGGGGATTCTACATACGAACAATTCCAAAATTCAGCGAGAACTAGTTGAATTTGATTCCTTCGAAGTGTTTGACCTCTAGAATTTAGAATTTCATTATTGCAAAATATAGTCAACACCAGTTTTGTAGAGAATTAAATTGCACATCTTTTGAAAACAGATTGAAGTTTTCTCAAGCTTTCTATACGGAAATAAAGTACCTCCACCACTACTTTTGGATAATCCCAAGTAGATTTCGTTTTTTGCCAATAGAAATCTGGAGATTGGTGGAAATTGATCAAATCTTGTATAGTGGTATAATCAAATTGAATACTCGGTCAAATTTTCAGTTCATATCATATTCAATGATATAATCAGAAGATTCAGCACAAATGAAATGGATGAAAGTCGGAACAGATATTGAAAAAGATGGCACGATCATCGAAAAAAATTTCAGAATATACATTTCAAAATGTACTCGACAAACTGATGACATAATCTAGAGGCGGAATTTTCCTTGAACTTGACAACGCCCAAAGATGAGGGAAAACATGCACAACAGCTCTTATCTGGACGAAAACAAAAAACAAAAAAAGGAACAAAGGAATTTTCTACCCCCGAGGATCTCCATGCTTCATACACTTCTGTTAGCTAGCGTCTCTGCTAAGCTGCGAGAGAGGAAATCGTTGTAGTATAACATTTCTTAATTAAGCTAAATTTATTAGATTCATTTCTACAAACACAACTTTTCTTCAATACGTATGTTTGTTGGCACTACGTATGTTCATTGCGGAGCTACTCTGTAACTGATATAGGTAAGATAGGGTCCAATGTTCTCGTCTTCTTGAAATTTTAATATAACTTGATAGTTTATATCGGAATATTGAATAATCACCTCATCTATCGATGTTATGTCTGTTTCCTGACCTCCGTCGTGTACACGATAGACCTGGTGGCGTCGCTTATTATCCAAATAGAGTGTAAACGGTTTTCGTTGCTACGTATATTGGGTTCCAATTGTTATGGTCAAATTATTCGTAGGATAGGCCCAACTGAACCGAACTTCTTTGCATGTCGTAAAGTTGGCTTGACCAATATCCAGTACTGAATTTGAACACGCAAAATCAGTTTGAATTCCACCTCGACATGGATAATCCGCTCCTGAATCCCACATCCGAGCTGTACAGGTTTCCTTTAATGGTGAACCGTTGACAAACACAACAAATAACAAGATAAAAAAATATGTGGATGACATTGTATAGTTAGTTAGTAACACAAAATAATGCAATTTTCTTTCGATTTTATAATAAGAAAAAAATTTTAGTCTCATAATTTTGATAATTCTATATACCATCAATATAAAATCATGATAACTTAAAAGCTTAAGCTTTTAAGTTATCATGATTTTTTATTGTTGGTATATTCTTTATTTGACCTTGATACGTATTTTGTTAGAAAACAAATTTGCCTTTGTATTATTGTGTGGGATTTAAAACAGAAATAAAATTATAGCTTTAAAATTGCACTGACTATAGGAACAGCATATTGACACATGTTTTCAAGCTTCTGTGATGCAAAATTGAAATACTCACTCACAATCAGTACGAAAAAAGACTGCAAAATTGCAAAATATACTGTATTTTAATTGCTTTATATAATCAAGCGGTTCAAAGTACGTGTGCTTCGGATGTTGTAAAATTCACGACATTTTCGTTGACTTCAACTTGCTTCTTTATCAACATGTTAAGCAACTAAAATAGAGTACATTTCGATCAATCACGGTACTGTCACACAGCTAGCAGAATTCGTAAATTCGATTCATAGATATATAGAAAAGAAAACTGTAACATCGTCGCTATTTTTGCTCGAGTTTCGAAAAGCGTTTGACAAGGTATGGTATAAGGCTTAATTATATAAGCTTGAAAAGTGAAACTTATCTTTAAATAACTTCTTGGCTCTCTCGTGGATAATACTCATTATTTCTTGGCTATGCCATGTCTTACGAGAGAACTTTCCCAAGTATCCAATCGCTTTTTCCTTAAAACATACACGGTTGTGGGTAACCTTCGCTGCTGATCACGAATCTAATATCCGTTTCTGCTGCCGGACCTGCTGGGTCTTTGAAATCAGAACGTCCGAAGACCCGCTATGAACTTCCAGCTAAACAGATTGTAGAACACGTTGAATTACCTATATGGGAAAATGCTTGAAACCAATTAACAGGTTTTCCAGCGGTAGAAATATTTTACGTTCAACAGTTCATCATTAAGGAAACCTGTATACACCGAGTAAATGTCAAATAACCTTTTACCCAGCGTATACTATTGCTATGAGACCGCAGCATTTCCTCGTCTCGAATGTATTTACGATCGACTTTCCCTGCAGCATAGCTGTTCACGATTATGGCGAGAATGATGCTTTGCTTGGTCCTCATTGTTTTACCACAGCATTTATCGTATGCGGGAAAGGCATAAATAAGGGAGATACAGTTAAAATATAATTAAATATGGCGAGCCCGTGCTTCCGGTCGAAAACGCAATCTCAACACTCAAACGATCATTTTCCTTCAACCTTTGGCTCCTATAGAGATTTCGATCCCAGATTGAAATAGCTAGAGTGAGACTGCATCGGATGATATATAATTGAAGACTTTCTTTTGAGTCTCTCTATCTCTAAATATCTCGGACAAAACGAATTTCACTGCCTAATGACACATAAGGTTTGATAGAGCGGAAATTACTCTATCGAATGGTATATATTTCATATTCCATAACCGTGTTTGGGTAAGAAAAACAACTTTTGACGAGAAAAAAACTCAAAATTGGACCAAATTTAGCAGTATGTTGATATTTTCTCCCTCACTGCGAGCTCATAGTGAAAATCTAACGCCAGATTCGTGCTCAGCACCAAAAACTGAGTATACTAGGCCATACGAGACATTTTCGTAGGGGCCCTTGGAGAATTGTATAGATCAGAGATGGGCGATGAACGAGGATCCTCGCGTGGTCAAACGATTCTTCACGGGACGAACTCCACGTGGAAGATTTTTTGAAAGCTCGACGAGACATAGGACGATGGCGAGACAGGAACTTCGCAACGCGAATTCCGCGAAGGACATTTTTTCTTGTGAGCGAAACATGCCATGTTTATTTTGATCTATTTTGATAATAAAGGTGACGGTTCTTCTTGGGAATCAAGAAAAAAAATGAATAGCTTATGTTAGCAGAGATTTTCTGGACTCAGGGGGATCAATGAGGAAGTGTTAAAGGAAAATTTTATCAAGAGCTGACTGTGGACGAGGCGGCGACGAAGCAGGAAGCTTACGGGCGATCCACGCGAAGTACATTTATCGAAACTTTGCGAGGTACGGGACGACGACGAGACAGGAAGTTTGCGAGGAGATCCCCTCGAGGGAGCTAAAGATAGATTTCAAAGATGACCTCCTGTACGCGTCATAAAGATGCGATTCTGAAACAATCAACAGCTACTTTTGTAGAACTAGAATAACTAGTTTTGTGAGTGCTACAAGATGCACCGTTTTACTTTCAATTCTGTTTTCCTAGTTATTCTCAATCTATTATAGGTGAAGAAAAGTTGTGCTTACAAGATGGACTTTATATACAAAGAAACAATATTTCTTTTAGATTTTCCAACTTAATACTTTAATGTAATCTCACGCCTTGTCGAATTAATTCTTTTTGTACTAATTCAATATCTACTTCACTTGTTGTTACATCTTGTTTTAACGATATTGCTGCTGCAGCACCTGCACCTTGTCCTGTTACTGTACAGGCAGCCATATTTCTCATAGCTGCATGCGATGTTTTATCTCCAGCAACACATCTTCCAGCAACTAAAAGATTATCTATTTCCAATGGTAATAAACAACCATATGGTACTTCAAAATAACGTCCTGTTGTAGGAAGAATTAAAATACTATATCCATCAATAAATTCTGGGAATATACCAATACTATCATTAAATTTTGCTTGATTTTTTACATCGTCTCCTGTTAAATTATAATGACCAATAATTTTTCTTGAATCCCGCCCACCAAGTGTCATACCAAAATTTCTTAGTTTAGCCTTTTCAAATCCAGGAACAACATGTTTTAAAGCCATTATTGCATCCAAAGTTTCTTTCCTTCCTTCCATTTCAGCTTTTGTTAAATCATTCACATTTGTACAATCATAATTAGTCATATAAACTAAATTAAGATTTGTAGCTTCACCGGCATCTGTTAAGGAAGACCATGATCCACCAATATTTGATCTTTTTGAAATAATACCAAGTTCTTTTGCTTTGTCAAATTCTTTATCTAAATATGGAGTACGTAAGTGATTTTCTTTTCCAGAAGTTTCTTGTGCCCAAAATCGGCTCCAATCAGCATAAGTAGCCGGATTTTCTTCTGTATATTTTAGAAATCGTTCTTTGTTAACATTTGAACAAGAAAATACAGTTGTAACTCCTAACATTTCATCTTTTGGAGTTTTACGGTAACTACATCCAGCTAAGTGTGCTATATCTGCATCTCCAGTGCAATCTACAACTCGTTTTGCTCGTATTCCTAAACGACCTGATTTACTTTCTGTAATTACTCCTACAATTTTATTATTTTCTAACATAACCTCAACAGCTAAACAATGTAAAATAGGTCTTACTCCAGCTTCTGTTACAAGATGGTCTGCTACAATTTTAAAATAATCAGCATCTAAACATTGACTATCATTATATGGCCATTTAACTGTACCTCCCATTTGCATCGCAATTCTTTCCATTTCTATACCAATACCTCCTTGTGATTCTACAGTACCTTCATATCTATACCATCCAATAGTTTCCATTCCTACTGTTGTAATTACTCCTCCAAAACAACCAAATTTTTCTAAAAGAATTGTATCAGCTCCAGCTCGTTTTGCTGCTAAAGCAGCTGATATTCCAGATGGTCCGCCACCAACAACAAGTACTTCGCATTCTGCAAATATTGGAATTAATTTTGATGTTTCATTATAAAATGATGAATTATTATTACTATCTTGAAGAATAGAATTTCTATTAAGAATAATTTCATTTGTTGGATTCTTTCGATTAACTTGTTGTTGTATGCCAGTCCATCTGTCAACCATTCGTTTTGCACGTTTTACATATTTTTCTTCTTCTTGTATAATTTCTTCTTTATTAGTTTTATTATTGTTATTGTCATTGAGATGATATTTGCGGAATACAGATAACAATAAAGGAATAATAATAATTGTGATAGAAATAATTGTTGTAGAATTCACTGCAATAACAATTTTATCATCCGTATTCGTTATTGAACTGTTCTTGAAGAAGTAATAACATCCGAATGATAATAATAATGCTCCAATTGTTGCTTTTTTATTTTCCATCACGTTGCAAATGGTTCAATCTAAACTTTTCGAATCTGGAGCCTCTAAGTGTCAAAGGTTATTGTGCCTAGTGAAAGATGAGATCTTCACTTTTTGTTTTGACGTAGAATAACTCGACAATGTCAGAATATATATCATTTTTCGTCTCATCAATGAGGTTGTTACAATAAAAGGGTGACAGAAAAAAGCAAAAAATGATTACCTGTGAAAGATAACCTTTCACATTTTTCTTAAGCGACTATATGGAAAGAAGATAACAGGTACACACCAACTTGGCTAGTTTTGCGTACTAAAAAAATGCACTGTTGCTTTTAAATTATCGCTCAGAAACAAAGTTTATATAGTACACAATAAAAAGCAAGTTATACACCTTCCGATTGTATTATTCTACTTTCTATGTAATTAAGGAATTCCCATAACTATGGAAAAGAAACCGCCTTCTGTCACGTGTCGATATTCTTACGCTCACATTTTCGCTCCGTGATTTCAAGATTACAGAAAAACTACTATCCATTTCAAAAAAGAAGAAGCACGGCCATTTCTTTGATAACTTTTTCTAAGAAGCAGCTAAAAAGGTGCGGTTTTCAGTATCGGAAAGCGAAATGTTGGGGTAATATGAAAAACTAA